GTGCAGCGTAGGAAAGGGTGAAATGCTGAGGTGGATCGAAGAACACCTTGATGTGATCTTCACCTGGCGAGAAGCGTTAGAAGAAGTCTGGCCTTGGAGGTAAGCTTTTTTGTTTCCAGGCCTGCGCATTGCCCCAGATGAAATAAAGCGCGACCCTCCGCTTGAGCAAAGTGTAGAGCTCATCGTCCACCACCCAGGAAATTGGTTTTCCGCAGAAGCCCACCCCCACCAGGTCTCGTCCTTCGGCTTTCAAGAAGTGCGAGGACTTGAGGTCGTCAATCCAGTCCGGGGGTATGTTGTTTTCCAGCACAACCTTCTCCCAATACGCAGGCTCGTCTATAGTGTTCTTCCAGACTGGCGCTAACCCCCCTCCGTGACTCGCATGGATGCGCTCGATCGTCCAACGGATGCACGCCATGCGCATTACGAACGCTGATATGCACTGACACACAACAATCACCAAGGACCAAAAGAAATAAACCTAAACCCCGTGATATGGGTGAAGGCGGTCCGAGACAACTGAAGGGTATTTAATAGTTTGAGGGGGAAAGGAGGAGTAAGACGCCGTAGGATAGCCCGTAGGAAGACCTAGAAAAATAAAACAAAACCTTGACGCCTGAAACAAACACTAATGGACGCTCCGGAGTATTTATCTCCGAAAAGTCGCAAACAAAGTTGCAAACCACGGAACCGAGTGTAGGTTCGGGCTCACGGGAGTAGAAGATGCTAGGAAGAGTTGTTTAATTTTGTTTCGCTGCGTGAGCCTCACCGGAACTAGTTAAATCAATGGCGGAGATATTTCTCTCGACGAGTCAGGCCTATTGGCAAAGCTAGGATTGGTTATAAGTCGCTAAGTTCGACGCTTTCGAACTTCTCTGGTCGCTGAGATCGTAACGTCTGATTCTCTGAGATGGTGAAGTCGAAAAACTTGTTTTTCTATATGCTACTTTGTACAATTTATACTACAGGAATGGCTTTGCGACCGTCCGGAGATAAATAACAAATAAATGCCACTACCCACAGGATTGCTCAGCACTTTCCTCTGCTATACCATATACCATACGACTCTCTTGCGCTCCCACTTGCTCTTTCCAGCCCCTATAGGTCGCCTCGACGCTTCGCCACCTGACCCAAGCGGTCCCATCACTCCGTGCGACACGCCGGTCACGTGTTAATTACCTCCGGCCGTTTGCTGACTGATGCTGACCTTATGGTGACTCGTATGCGTCCGCACCTTCGGTATCTTGACGGAAATGAGGGGGAGTGAGTGCTGGAGGGTGGGCATGAGGAAGACACCCCTCGATAGAAGTGTCCGCGGGTCCCGGAGCTAATGCAGCTAGAAGTCGCATTGGTTAAGTCACTCCGGAGCTTCGGTGCGCGGGGATAAATTGCGGAATGGGTCCGTGTACGCCTCGAGGATGTTAGGAAGTCTGGAGCTAAATAGAAAAAGTCTTTTAGAGCCCATAGAAGCCTAGTGGCGTGTGAGTGCTGTGTCGAATAAGCTCCGGAGGGCTTGTATGATGTGCTGAATCCGCGTTTTCGGGGGTCAGACGATCCTGAGGCTTATCATCGGGCACCGGAAAAGTGGCGAATCAGTGGCGAATCGTGGCGAAATGGCGAAGTGGCGAACTTTTGCTGTGAGTCGGCCCGTGGCGAACGCGAGCACCGCATTGAGTCAACCTGGGGCGAATAGCAGACGTCCATGTCCTCGTCTCTCACGCTCCTCCCGACTCCGGACTAGTCCTTGATTTCCTCCTAGTGTCTACGGCCATCCCTGTTCACAGCGTAAGTGTACAATGGTAGTTCATGTGCATAAATTATGTAAACAAATTCCAGACTCCCAACTACTCAATAAGACTACCAGGTAATGCATGTAGCAATACATCCCACAACTCGTTGATGTCAGGGATAATTCATCCCATATTCACGCCCCTCGAGCTTATGTTGTTGGATGAGGGTGGTCAAGCGTGAGTAATGCCGGCAAGACGTAAAGACGACTTCGAGATACGCGCTTGTCATGCTTCCCGTTTGGCATCAACGGATGTGGCTCCCTAGCGCCGTGCAAGGTACCGCTTTCAACAACTCTGTTTTTCTGCCTCCCTTTGACTGCCGTACTTCGCGGACCACAATCCTGGAGGACTGCCAGTACGACCGTCCATGGGGCAAAACCTAGATGTAGCCTGGCTCGCAGTCGGACAATATTTGGCATTAGGTGCCAGGGCTGTCTACAAGTGGTTCGACCAACATGGGCAACGAGGAGGATAGCAACAGGTACGCAAGACTATTTCCTTACTGTACTCAAACCCGACTCTAAACGAGTTCACCATAGATTTGCTAATGGTCCCCAACGATTCGCCACACTTCACCAACACTTCGCCAACACTTCGCCATGGTTCGCCAATGATTCGCCTCAGTTCGTCAACAATTCGCCACGATTCGCCAAAGATTCGCAACAAGTTCGCCACGGCTCGGCGCCCGATTGACCACCTTTGTCACGACTCCCAGTTGGATCACGGCCTGCGCCAGAATATTCAGCAGCCAGCAGCTCAGCTCAAGATCGAATGGCTGCCTCGCGATCACGACCACATCGCCACCTCGGTGTCAGGGGCAAATCTCGGGATACGCAGTCAGGATCTCAACAGTTCAACAGGTAGACTGCTCCTTCTTCTCCTATATTTACTATACTTTCCTAAGACATTCACCATAGATGTTGTAAAGTAGCCGTGCTGCCAGTCCACTTCAGAGCATGACACTTACTAGTTGAGAAAGTCATTCCGAGGCCGAGTACTCAACTGCCGATCACATCCGCGATCGGTATCAAGTCACTGGTATGTCTTAAGCTTTTGGCCTGAGTCCGATCATGTTCCTGATCATGTCCTATGCACTAGTGCAAAATATGCCTGTCCAGCACGATCGCTGAGTGATTCAATTCTCAACATACCCTCAGCAGTCCCTTTCGACAGTGTAAGCACTCTTCGTGCAAGATATGCGACGATGGTCAGTTTCTGTAAGTTGTTCTGTCCGTCTCCTGTGATGTCTGTCCAACAGACCCTTCCAGGGGTTTGTACAGCATGTGCGGAAGTACTTCCGGCCAGAACGTGAAGATGAACCTGCTTCCGAAGTCGACAAGCAGCCACTAGGGCTATTGCCTGTATTCAATGTCCATGGTATGCTTCCATATCTGACATGGCATCATCTGCCCTCAACATCCTTCTATTCTAGGGGAGACAATCGGCTACATACAGAGCAACTCCCATGGAGTACATGGTGACCTATGCACCGCTCCACGCAGGGGCCCCTCTGCTCCTGCTAACATATCAGCGCCAACCAAGGAGCCCAAACACCGCAGGCTTGGTGCTTTTTGGCCCACCTTATGGTGAAAGAGCAAAGGAACTCGAAAGCTGGTCCCAGCGGAGTCTACAGAGGAGAAGACCGCATCCTCGGCAGAATCAGAATGTTCTTCCTCTGCCTCTTCGCATGGTGCATCCCGCTCTGAGCCTCCGTCATGGGATGGTTGGCCAGATGGCGTGCTCAACCTTGACTTTGACTGGCCCGCCTTCGAGAAGACCGGCCATCTGATGTTGCACTGGTCATATCGAGGCAACACTCTATCGAACAAAAAGGGCAAGCATTCCACAAGTGCAGCTCGCTGGCAGGATGGCCGAGTCTCAGAACGCCGATGCATGGGCGTTATTCGATGTGATAATGAGCGGTGCGATATCCTTGTTCGCCCGCAGACCAGGAAGCTTGGAATTGACTCACAACTCCTACAACCCTGCCAATGTGGTGCTACTTTGCAGCATCAGAAGTGCCCTATCGTATCGAGGCTGTATACATGGCGGGGAGGGGTACATTACGTGAATGGTGGCAAGCACAATCACGAACGCTTAACCCATGTCCTCCACCTTACTCGTGATGAGCGAGTCCACTTTGAATCTATTGTCTCACAGCATCCAGCTGCAGGCCCCCTACAACTTCTCGTTGGCGTACCTGGCCTTTAAGGCCCACAGGAGTCTGTTGCCGACATTTCACCAGTTTTAGTGAATCAAGACAGAGTGCGCAAAGAGCGTCAGAGGATCAAAGGAAGTATACGTGGGGGAATATCTGGCAACAATTTTGTCAAGGACTTTGCTCAATTGGACCAAGAAAATGCAGGCTTCATAGTCTGGAGCCAGATTGGACATGTAACTGTCATTGCGCTTCAGACTGAGTTTATGCGATCCCTGCTTGCAAGAGAGGCTGTTCTCAATGAGCCCGTGAACGGTCTTGTCAGTGATGCTGCTCACAAGTTTTGGAAGGACCGTGATTCCATTCTGATAGTCACTTCAACCTTCTCGGAAGAGTTGCTACGCTGGGTTCCGGTTATGTTCTCATATTCAAATGGGCAAAGTGCGGAGCACTACAAATGCCACTTCTTGGCGCTTTTCCTCAGCATTGCGAAGCAGTGTGCAGACCGAAGCATTGTTCTCACAGACAAGATGCTTGCCCAGGTTCGTACAATCATCTGTTAAAAGAGGCATATTCTCAGACCGTAATACATGGAAAACAGGTTATGGATTATGGAGAAGTGCAGCGGGCAGGATTTTTAGAAGCCTATGTGTTGTTTTGGAAGATGCAAAGAGAGGATGAGCGCTCTGAAAGTCAACTACGGGCAGATGCCACATGTGTGTTGAAAGGGTGTCAAGAGCACTTCCGGGCTGGGACGACTCGCATCAAGCGGAATGGGAACATCGTACCACATGGACACTCTGATGTCTTCGAGCACCTCGTCAACGGTCTCCTGACTGCTGACGATATTGAGACTTTCCAGAGTCGTGCGGACACTCTTGTTCATGAGTTCCCTCGAGCCCAAGCATGGTTGCAGTGGTGGCTCCGGGAGTCACATGCTCCACTCTTATTCCCAAGTCACCGTCATATGACTGATGACCTATGGGCCGCTTTGCCTGACACCACCAATGCGGAAGAGGCCATGCATCACAAGCTCTACTCAGCTGTTGGCAGGGATCACGCCTTGATGGAAGGCCTGAGGGCACTCCAATCCTTTGCTAGTTACTACCAGTGGTTGCAAATGCGAATCTGGGTGAGTGTGTGGATTGTGGTTCATTGTGAGTGACTATACACTGATACAACTCATACAGGAGGAACACTCATATGTTATGGCAAAGCCGAGCCTTGGAAGATCACGGCGGGTCACATTGGGAGGATTAAGCCAACTCGGGCTCCGGATAAACAAGAAGTACGCCGGAACCGCAACGATGGCAGACCACCAGATACCACAGTGGAGCTATTGGGTCGGAAGCGAACTGGTAACACTGGCTTACATGACGGTACGCTTCAGGAGTCCCCACGGAAGAAGAAGAAAGTTGTGTATGTGAGCTACAAGTGGTCAAAGCACTCATGCTGGCTGGATACATCATTGCAGCTCATATACGAAGCTGTTCACCGTGACTTCTATGACCTGGAGCAACGTTGTGCTCAGTTAGCTCCGGGACAGCCTTTGAGGGCATTGTGGGATACCCTGCACCTTCGGAATATTGCTTCAGCTGAACAAGGGATGGAACATAGTGAGCTATCGGCCCAACTCGTCGAGCAGCGTGATGGATTCCGCAAGTTTCTGCATCAGCGTCGCTATATTACCTTGCTGGACTCATCTGATTCCCTTTGGGTGCGTGAACCGTGACATGATCTCTCTGGATGATTACTGAAAACTGTTCTAGGCGTGGTTAGCTGCAATCGTGCGATACTCCAATGGTGGAGTAGCATCTTGGGGCCGTGCATATTTTACCGGCTACACTATCATGCGCCGATGTAGTCCACTGAGGCGCAAAACTAAGCCTTCCGATGGAATAACCCATTTTGATATCACCAGGACCGTGCAGAACAGCTTCTACAATCAACTAGACGACATCGCTCATGAAAGCTTCGGTGGCAGTATTCAGAAATGGCTTTCAGCACGGATGAAACCTAGCGGTGTGGAATCCGAGTCCATCGACTCGTGCTGGTGGAGTTCAGATGGAACACCTCTATGTTCTGGGTATGTTGACGAGAGCCGCCTCTGCCTTTCGCTCCCAGTCATGCTGGTTATCGATGTTGTCTCATCCGAGGGACGTGTCTGGGACTGCCCCAAGTTACTCCGTCCACAGTCTTCTGCAGCTGTCAATGACGGCGTTGCATATGATCTAGTGGGGAGGGCATTCTATAGTGATGAAAAGTCACACTTTATGGCACGTTTTCTTACCCCAGATCGGCATATCATTACGTATGACGGGCTATCTGGGGTTGGATATGCTATGCAAGAGACAGGCAAGCATGTCATGTATATTGTTGGCCCAAATATTCATCATCCTCCCGGTTTCCGGACATATGCACTTGTCTACCATTTGCGAGGCAGCAGTGCAGCTCAAGAGAAAATTTTCCATGGCCAGTCCGCCAAATTCCAGAAGCTGTATGGCATACAAGTGTCGACTCAGTCACTACAGCATGCACCTGTGTTATCAGTGCACAGGGCTGGGTTTCGGAAACTGGCAGAGCACAAGCGCTCCTGGCTAAGGAACCCTTACAGTAATCGGACAATCGACTACGAACACGAAGGTTACAATACCGAGGGTGGTTCTGGTGGAGAAATGGTGAGAGCGAGCATGGTTGTGGTAGTCATACCCCTGCAATGGAGAAAGCCGGGTCTGACATAGTGCCAGACTCCAAGGCTTCCAGCTCACTTGATGTTCCCCTCGCAAACGGTGCAACTTCTCGCCGTAACAATTTCAGCTTCCAATGCCGTTGTGGACTTGAAGGGGATGGCCACAGTCTTGAGATAATAGGTGAAGTTATATTCTGTAACTCGTGTCGGAACTGGTCGCACCTGGCATGCCAAAAAGGTGGTCGAGCAAGCAAGCTTGAGACAAAGGTTCCATTTATCTGTGACCGGTGTCGACCCGATCGCTACAATGAATTATTTGACACTTCACCTCCAGGGAGACGCCGGTATGTTTGTCCATTGCTCACCTGTGTCGCATGCTCACGAGTACCACAGCTCCCGGCGGACTCGCGTTCAGACCTTGGCTCAACGCCTTCTGTGAGTAATCAAATGTAAAGAAGTTGAGCATACATATCATGCTTACCTCACATGTTTGTTTATGACAGGCCTGGGAAGGGAGCCTTAGTTCGCCAAGGAACATATTGGTATCCTGTGCGTCTTATTGAAAGGCGGCGAAGGGAAAATCGGAATATGTGGAGGGTTGTATGGTGGTGAATGTGTCATTTTGAGGATGGCACTGGTCCCCTGGAAGAGTGGATCGATGAAACTGACATTGTTGATGAGTTGTGGCAGGACCAGGAGCGTCGAAGATCAATTCGGGTATGCTCCTTGTTGAACTAGTAGGAGGGAGATGAGCATTAACTAACTCACTGTCCTTCTAGCTCAGGAGGTGGTCGGTGCGTCTGCAATGTGTATAGGACGAGTTTACGAATGAAACCAGATACATCTCTGAAAAGGAAACTCCGCGAAAGAAGACTGGTCTGAACGACGTGCTATGGATATCTCAAGACTCGTTTTGCCGCGAATCGCCTTCCCCTCCACCGCCCGTTCGTGTCATGTTTCTCAACTCGCGGGATACGACCCTTTATATCAAAACAGTGGTGGTTACTTTGCAGACTTGGATCGAATAGTCCAGCCTCAAGTCGTTCCAGCCTGCCTTGCTAGCGGCGAAACGAAGGAGACGACTCGCGATGACCACCCCGTCCCCTCGTACGCGCGCTGGCGGCTAACTTAGTCTGTCGGGTTCACCGCATTCGGCACGACAGGGACTTTGTGCGAGGTTCTCGCCCCGCGAACTAGTGCTACTCGCACAGGCGCGTCTGGCGGCCAGATCTCCGTGTCCTTTGACGAACGCGGACGCGCATAGGCCATCAGGTGAAGGCTATGTCGCGGCAGTCTCAACGGGCTCCTTGGAACTATGGTACGCCAGGCGATTCCCTTTGTTCTTTCCTCAGCTAACTTCTTTATCAGCATTTCAATAGTTGTCCTTTGTACAATATCAATCTATAATCTATGGTCTTCGCTCCTCTGTGTCCCGACTCACTCCCCAACTCGGCTGTGTCACAACGGCTTTTGTACGCGTCTCGCTAGCTCAGACTCCCCAATTTGGTACCACGTCAAGTCTGACAGAGCACCGTTTGCTTCGCGCTCGTCCCCGACTTCTTCGGCACATCGTCCTTGGGCAGCTCGAGGTCTTCGTGCAAGACCTCATGATCAACCCGCTTCCTTCGACTTGCCCGAGAGTGCTTTCATTTGGTATGTCGCTCTCTATCGTGCTTCTCGTCCATTCTGACCGGTTATATCTTGTCTTGCAGGATTGACGCGACGAGTCGACGCCACACTCCGACGCTCTGGTGCAACGTGTTCTGCTCGTGTCTACCCCCTCCCGCCTTTTCTTTACTCGGCACCGCTACCTTTCTACCTCTCTGACAACTACCTCGTCCACGTTCCCTACCGTCGTCCCCCTCGGCCCGTCTTTACTTCTGGAGCTCAGGCACGTGCCTAGCGTCGCCACGTCGGTCTCGGCGCCTCTACTCTCTACGGTGAAGATGGTCGGCGATCTGCGGGTATCCATACACGACGGCTACCTGCGAGCGTTATGGCCGCAGGAGAAGTCTCGGGCCCCATCATGGGGTACCCCTCATGCCGTATGCACAGCCACGGGGAGCGCCTCAGCCGTCATCTGGCCTCGTAGAACGTGTGTACCCCTTCCGGGGCAGCGCATGCCGAGTCGAGCTGCATATCATCGCAAATGCCTCGCTCGCATACCCCCGGTCCCCCTCGCGCCCTCCGGCTCTTCAGCAAGGCGATGTGGGTATGGATAAGGCCCCCGCGAGACGAGACATAGGGCCCAGCATCCTCGGGCTGAGCCAGTAAGTCCTCGATACTTTACACAACGTTCTCTGTACTAACCCGAATGCGCCGTCAGCAACATCACGACAAATGGACGCACCACCAGCGGGTCAGGGCAGCATTGTCGGCGTGTGCGGCCCCTGATCAGTTCCTTTTAGCTGGTCGTATCTCCTCGACAATGGCGCATTCGCCCAGGCTGCCCCTTGCACTAAAGGCCTCAATTCTCGTCTGCGGACGCTCTGAGGTGACGACGAGACGCATCGACCTCCCGGGAGCAGGACCGAATGCTCAGGGCGGCATTGTCAACTTCATGGTGTTGCCAACACTTTCCCACAAACTCGCGATGCCTTCGCCTTCACGGCGCATTGTTCCAGCTCCCGTTACCGTCTGGCCTTGCCAACCCGTCGTCTTCAATGCGATGCCAGGACACATCGACGCCCCGCTAGCGGACGTAAAGTCTCCGCTTTGTCGCTCACTCACTCGGGCGATTCCTTGCTAGGCGACGGCAGAGCCGTCAGGCTCTGCTTCTCATCTCGCCGACTCGTTTTCGCAACCTGGATTCTCGGGGCCCTGTAGGCCAATACGGGGCGTATCGGCGTCCCGCCAGCGGCCCTAAATTCGCATCCTCAAGCCTCTATGATGCACTCGACGCGTCTGACTCACTGCCGCGGCCTTCCAGCGATGTCGTACCCTTAGGCCGGCAGTGTATTGCCTCGACGACGCGCGCGCGTTGCGGCATTGCATTGAGCGAGGCGCCGATGTCCCCCTTGGTGTGGAGGCTTGCTTTGTGAGCTTCAACCTTCTATTTCTCTGTCTGATTACTAAGTCTCTCACTTCGGTAGGCAAAGATTGGACACAACAACTTCACGCAGGCCGTTGTCGCAGGGACGGGCTTGTATCCCTGGCACCAACGTATGGCTCTCTTTGCTCGGTCTGTACGCTTGACTCGCGCTTTACCTCCTGCTCCACCGTCGATTCCCCACCACCTTCCCCCGGTTTCACCAGGCGGTCTCTTCGAGTACGGCGTCATACACTGATGCGACGTATCGACGTCCGCGGAGCGCACCTGCCGCTCCAGTCCCCTTGATGCCCTGGCGATCACATCCGGATTAGTGTTGTGCAGGGCCTGGCCTGGCTCGAAGCCCCGGGCTTTGGCCTGGCTTTAGTTGGCTCGGGCTTGTCAGGAAGTCAAGCCAGGCCCTGACTCCGGGCTTTGGCCTGGCTCGGGCCTGGCTCGGGCTCAGGCCAGGGCTTATAAGATAAAACAGTGTCTCGAGCAGAACAGCACTTGCAGAGCTATATGGGGTCAAACAGATGTCCATAGAGTTACTACCTAGTACTACCAAACATCTAATCATCCTCCGCATCTGAATCAACATCAACCCACATGTTCATATCCTCCGCACCAGCACTCTCTGGCGTGCCCAATGAATTTAATCCCTCTTCAAGCTCCTCCCCCTCCTTCTCAAGTACCTCCTCAGTGACGGATGATGGTCCAGCATCCTTAAAGAATAAGTCCTTCTTATACGCACACTTAAGGACTTGGAAAGCCTCGACGATGTCTCCTTTGAGTCGATTCCGGTGTTTCGTGATGGTGATGCCGGCACTGGAAAAGGTGCGCTCACTAGATACCGACGTTGCCATTACAGCCAAGTAATCACGCGCTAGGGCTGCCCACGTCGGAAACCTATGAGCATTCATCTAATGGTAGAGATCTCCTGTTAATAGAAGCCCATTAAACTTCTGTAGGTAACTGTGACATACCCCCCACCACTGGACAGCAGACGTGTCGACATCAAAACATCATCCAGGTTCATGTACCTGCGATATTCAACCTCCCAGGGCTCTTCGCTACCGGCTGCAGCACGCGAGGAAGTCGGCGGGATAGAATCATCATCGTCGTCGGAGAGATTCGCAAGCATCGATGGGTATCGCCTCAACCCGGAGCTTCGAGCGGTTCCACTAGTAGGCCCGGACTGGCCCTCCCTATGCAGATCTGTATATGTGTCCCGAAACTAGTGCACGGTCACTATGTGTACTGAGAGCAAAATCATAGTACTTACGACTTTCTTCACGAGCTTTTCGACGCCCTCTTGTAGTTCCGCTGACCAACACTGCTTGAAGTGAGCCATCCGTTTTGTCGGCTCTAGAACTGTCAAGGAAAACAACTTAGCATCCTCCATTACAGCAAGCAACAGACACACTTAACGAGAATATGTACGCATCATTATCCCCAGTCTTGTCATAGTATTCCGCAATCTTATCAAGACCGGCTTGCAAGCTGCCCGAAAACGGTTTGTAGCTGTCCTTCCGTTGCCGCTCCATCCAGGCCACATGTAACTCTTCAAGTGCTGGTATTCCGAGATGAAGGGCTGGGACGTTCTCCGAAGACAAACACTGCTGAGAGCGATCAGCATCCTGGGTGGAAGGAGACAAGGCGGGATAAGTGCTAGTTACAGCGACTGAATATCCAGGGCAGCAGACGCACCCCGAGTATCTTCTGGAAAAGCTTCACTCGTTTCCATTCTTCCGCGCTGAGTTCAAGTGCGTACAACTTGATTGCAGTCACGCTGTCTTTGGCAGTACGACCTATCTCCATGATGAATTTGGAGATATGCTGGTAAGATGCCAGAGTTGTCACGGTGAGCCAGCAAGATAAAGACAGGTTAGAGACGTACGTCACGCAACTCATATGCCCGATTGAGCATCATATACGTTGATGACCATCGGACCTTCATATCGACCAGCAAGGTTTTGATATCCTTCAGTTGCACGCCAGCAGCGGCTTGGATATTACGGAAGTGTTCCTTCCGTTGGTTGGAGGAGCGCTCCTGGGGTACATTCAGCTATGTCATGAAGCCTTGTACACCGGAAGACGAACCTTTACTGAAATAGCACGCACGAGACCAACCTCATCTCGGACAGGTGAGGTAGTATCTGGCGTATGAGCCTCCGGATCTTGCGGATTGTAGTATGGTGACTGGCTCTTACTCGAAATGACTGCTTGGGTCACAAGGTTAATGATATGTGCAAGGCAGCTGGAATGGAGGAGAGTTAGAATGCCTCCAAAGGAAATCGGTTGTCATGTTACTCACCCTATCCTCCTTCGCAGCGGGTCAAATTCGACGTTGTGCTTCTCACGCAGCTGCACTGCGAATTCCTTCATCATCGTGAGATTCGACGAAGCGTTGTCGCAAGTAATCATGAAGGTCTAGAGTTATCCAGTCGATTCAGGACTTACAACTGGAGAGTGAGATACAATCATACCTTCTGTGCAATGCCAACCCGTGCCGCAACTTTGTAAAGCGCCTGTCCAAGCCTTTTCCCGCTGTGCGCGTGGTTCATGCGGACGAACCCAATTAGGGCACCTTCAAGATGCCATTCGGATGGAGCTTTCTCCTCGATCCAATGGGCGGTCACTGCAAAGTAACCATCGACATTGCTCGCTTGCCAGGCATAGCAGGTGAGCGAGACCTTCCCCGGCACCGTCAGTCCCTGTAAAAACGAGCCTCAGATGGTAGCGAGAGATTCGGAGGATTGGCACTCACATTCAGTCGCTTTCGCAGCGAAACAAGATATTTCTGGTATGTCTTCATGATCTGGTGACGCGCAGCTTTTCTGGTGGGTATTGTGACCCCGTGTGTCTTGGCCTTGGCAGCCATCTCTATCATATCGACGAAAGCTGGGTGTTCGAGCGCACTAAGCGGCTGTATCGAATATCAGGAATGGCAAAGAGTGTAACCCGAGCTAAGAACACCGCACCTGATCTGTCCTCACCAGCCACTTCACAGCAAGCTCCTTGAACGACTCGTCTGAGTAGGTGATCACCGAACTCCGTGGCGTTGAGCGGATATGACTGTCCAGCGTTTGCTGGTCTTGCTGGGTTGCTGCTTGAGCCTTTCGAGCCTCGACATCGTCCTTTATCATCGAAACGAAGTTATTTTGTGAGCACCAGAGTCGATACTCGAGCTAATGATAGTATGAGACAGCTGCCTTACTCGCATAAGTCAGGAAGGGACGTACCTTGTGGGCAGACGCCATATGTCGCCGTGAAGTCGAGACATCGATGACCTTAGCACAGTCAGAGAAATTTCTCTTCCTGTAGCAGGTGTTTTCAGTTTTCCACAATGAGGGTTATGGTCGTACTTACTTGCAAATAGCGCAGTCGTGCACTTTCTGCTCTTTACCATCTTTCTTACGCATGTAAGCCTTGCCGAAGAAATGTTTGACATTGGCCGTGGGGTCAGGGCGAGAGCTCTCCTGTTGTGGAGCGGAGATGTGGTCGAGGTCTTTCAGCATGCCTTGCTCGTTCGTCTCCTTGGCTTGTTCCTGAGTAGGTTTCTTCTTACGAGATGTAGTCTCTGCCGTGGCAGATGAGTAATGTGAAATAGCTGGACACCACAGCAATAGACCTACTCTTTGTGCGGGCCTGTTTCCTCTTCGCTTTTGCCGGCTCTGACTCAGAGTCACTTTCGCCATCCGAAACCTCCTCAAGCGCGGGTATCTCATTGATATCTTCGCCAGGTACTTTGGCTTTCTTCTTTGGCTTCCCCGGGTCAGCATCGTCGTCGGTGTCACTCACGATTGCTCGCTTCGAAACTTCACAGCGGCGGAACACATACAATCAGGGCCCCGAAGTCATCAACAGTAGTTATCAGTTACTCACACATTGCTGTTCCCCTCCTATGAGTTTGTTCATCCTCGTCCAAATTGATGATATCCTTACCATAGCTTGGTCCCCGCGGCAATTGAGAGGGTCCCGCGCCATTGACGGTGCTGTCCAACAACTCGGGGAGTGGTCGAACTGCCCCGATCGCCTTGCCACGGTCGACGTTGTCCTTGTTGGTAATCTTATCACTGGGCTTAAGTATTCGGCCCGATGTTCGAAGCCCAGCGCCGCCGACGGTGGACTCTGAGTGGAGGATACGAAGTTAGCTCTCGCAGAGACACGTACTTAACATACCACTGCCTCCAGGCACGAGGATACGGAGGTGTAAGTGTGACAAATTTCCTATGCCTGCACTCTCCAGAGTTTGGCTCAGCATTAGCCGTTGCTGATTGATGCCAGCGGGGTATAGTCGATGACTTGTCATGTAGGATGCAGGGAGAAATCCTAATTCCCGCAGTTTGCACCAGACGTCCCACCCTGTCGTGGTCGGGGATGCAACTGCACATTAAATCGAGTTAGCGATGCTGTCAGAGACCAACGTACATGGTACTTACGAATGGGGACTGTTTTTTGTGACCCAGATCCATCTGTACCTTTGACGAAGATCGTGAATTGCTGTTGTTTTGCTAATCGTTGGAATCGATCAAGGCGGAGGTGAGATATATGGTTGCGCCGGTATCGGATACGACAAGCGGTCCGCACAGACTCTGGGATCAGGCAGTTGAGTGGCACAAGGTTCGGGGAGTAGTATGACACTAGCGGTGTAGATCATTGTCAATTGCCAACCCCACACTCCTGAAGCATCAAAATACTTACCCGCTGCGAGCAGTGCTAAGGTGCAGTATGTTATGGCTGCTGTTATCAGCCGCGCGATAGAGTCGACATGCTGCAAAGACGCCTGACAAGCGGGACCTGGAATGAAGTGATCCAGGAGGCCATTGATGACATATGAACGTTGTTTTTCAAAGAGGAAAAGTGGCAAGAGTGCGGCAAGGAGGGTCACTAGACAAAGAGCGAACCTCTGCCATACGGGGCGTGCGGCTATGGACCTCCCGGAGCTAGGTAGAAGCACGGGAGTCGCAGGATGCATGATCAATGAGCTGCAGACCCGTCAATGAATGGTGTCTCGACAGCGTTCGTTGTGCGGCTTTTTAAGTGCCTCTCTCCTCAAACCTACAGGTGTGGGCATCTACATGACCCGATCCACATCAGTCTTCACCCGCATGTACCACACAACTCGTAGATACGGCATGAACTGATTGGGCGGCCGACAAGTCCGCTGAACCAGTCCTAAGCCCTAGTGCAACCTCGCATTGGTCTGCACATGCGGCCCCAAGCTCAGTCAGCAAACATCGGCATAAAAGAGATCTCAAATAATTGAAATAAAGCAGAAAAAGCTGCTCTATACGGTACTTGACGAAGCGGTAGTCTACTGCTGAAACACGTTAATGTCAGATAACGTCGGCATACAGTACTGCGGGGCTGAATCTCACCTAGCTGGTAGGGCAATCTGGGTGACCATTAGCCTTTTGACTTGTGATAGGATCCAAGACAGCGATCTCGCAAGCGATGGTCCCTTCATTGCCTGCGAGTGCATGTGGGTGCCAGCGAGAGGGAAGCGACACTTGGAGCAACTGTTTTTCAAGCGTCCGGAGATTTCCATGATGTAAACTCACGTGCAATGCCTGTCCCTTTGTGCTAAATTTGGTATGCAGGCCCCGGGCCTACCGGGCCTGGCTCGGGCTTCTCCGAGATCAAGCCAGGCCCTAGGTTAGGGCTTGACCAAGGCTTTGGCCTGGCTTGGCTCAGTGCGAGAGGGCTTGGCCTGGCCTGGCTCGGGCTTGAAGCCGGGCCCAGCACAACACTAATAGAGAGTATTTGCAGGAGGCGAAGTGGACACTTTTTCCGCTTAGCAGACAGCCCACTTTGGATAATGCGAATGCACCACAAACACCAAAAATATGATATTCAGCACCACCTACCCGTTCGCATCGGGTGTATACCTACATATAGGGTAATATGCTGTGTCAAAGTTTCCAACGCATCCCCAGCTTTTTCCGCGAATGGCTCCGACGCGCACCACTGTTTCACTTTGCCTAAGATCTCGTGTCAGATCAGATAGCTAAAGTTGACTTCGCCTCCTGCAAATACTCTCTAATCCGGATCCGAACCTCTGCCATCACCACTTGCCAACGAATTGACGTACTACAGTGCGTATCGTTGCATGGCGGTCTTGACGCCGGCTATTACTTTGCGTGGGTTCTATCATTAATCCTTCTCTCGTCTACTACTTACACTACGGGACTCGGTACACAAAGACGGGACGAATCTCCTTCCCGCGAGGAGCATCCTCAACACCAGGACGCTTCCGCCGATCCGCTACGCCGCCCCGGGAGAGGCGCCTCGCGGCAACACTCACCTCTGGCGCCTCCGTGCGACCTCGCATCGCGAATACGGGACGAATCAAAGTATCTGCGCTCTGTACGCCGCCGCCATCTCTGTCTATAGGAAACTCAAGCCCTGCCCGCAAACTCGGGACCCTGCCACGCAAAGATGGGTCGTATTTACTATTGACGTCCCGGGAGCGGGGTGTCGGTGTTGTCGCATGCTGGGTTGCTCTCGCTCTCGACACTCTCGAGACCCTCGTACCGTCGATGCCATCGGCAGCCGCTTCGCAAAGACGGGACGTGTCGGCGGGCTGTCGGTATGCTCTCCTCGCTGTGCTCCGGCGGTCTCTCCGGCTCTCTAGGCAAGATCACGGACGGTCGGACCCCGCTTTGCGAAGATGGGACGGACCGACGTCCGCCGAGCGGGGTCTCGGCGCTCGGAGGGCTCCTCTCGCTCTCTACACACCCGACGATCTCGGGACCGCGTGCGCGAAGATGGGACGGACTGACGGCGGGCGAGCATGGCATGGTCCTTGGAGTAACGGGCTGGCGAAAATGTCGCTGTCTGCGGGAGATCAAGTCGGCCGTTGGCGATGTAGAGACGGTTGGCCATCCGGCGAGCGGGGTTGGCGGGATGGGCGGCGGGGATGAGCAGGTGTGGTGAGTGTCTTTCCCTGTTGTTCTAGCGTGCCGGTGATGCTGAGCCATCGATTTAGGGAAAGATCGAGCTGCCGCGAGCGGGGAGGGTTTGGAAGGGACGGCTGTCGAGCATTCGGGAAGTTGGTGAGTGTTGAACTAGGCGCTGACTTAGCTGCTAGGTTCTACAACGTACCAGAACATACCGGAACCCTCTGGAACATTCTGGTATATTCCATTATTGTACAAAGGGCACGGAGCTCATGTGGGTCAGTGACATCATAGGTGGAGCTCAGTAGGATTATAGATATTCCACGTAGCTTAGTCAGCCTATGGGCCACAGTGTATATAAACCCTGCAGCTCTGCTGCCTAATGAAAAAGGGTCGTTCATACGAGCTTTACCAGTAGCTACAGCATCCACTCAATACAGGTGAGTTGTGTAGGGCGCACTGTGCGTGCTGCTGCCTCCATAACTCTTCATCAGGTTATGAGCCCAAATAGGCAGCTTGCGTCTGCGCGGTAACTCGCTGCAGCGCGTTGCGCCTTGCTCACCTGTGCATCGCCCTATGCGCCCTCACAGGCTGCAGTGTGGCTTGATGCGTGATCATCGCCGTAGGCGCTGTTATCAGCAGCCATCAGGCTTGATGATCGATCCTGGGGTAACTCCCTAATGGAGCCAACAGCATGGAGCAGTGCGCCCTTATCGGGCTGCATAGCTTCGCTGATACTGATGAGATCTCAAATACAGATTTCAGATCTCTCAACCGCTCCGCAACAATGTCGAACAATTTGATCGCCGTTGTCCCCGTCCTCGACGGCTCGAACTGGTCGCTCTGGTCCCAGCAGATGAAGGCATACCTCATGTCCCAAGGCCTTTGGGGACACTGTGACGGTACAATTATTATGCCTGACCCTGTCGTAACCACCTACAAGGACGGCAGCACCAGTGAAGATACCTCTGCACGAGACGCCTGGAGACTGAATGATACCAAGACTATCGGGTACAATTCGTCTTCGATGCTCCCCTGCCGTTGCCACCC